AAAATATTCTCAACCACAATCCTCATTAAAGTTTATTCAGGCATTTCAAAGGGTGTCATCCTACGAACAAGCCTAACTTGTGTGCATCCAACAGCCAAGGGTAACATCCTGCTGGTGAATTCTGTACAATTCATCTTGTTTAAAACTTCAACATAAGTATACACAGGTACACATCTATAGTGCAGACAATCGGTTCCATCAATACCACACCTGCAGGTACATCTAGCTTCCCATAAAACGCGAGGTATTCTATTATTGTCAATATTCATCTCGAAAATCGAGGGACATCTTGCTGCCTCATTGGCGGGCATGAAATTTCTAGAGGTTGCGTCAGTCCGGAAGTCTTCACAGTTCCTTTTTTCTGAGTAGTTTCCTCGTTGTGCTGTGTAAGTATTTTCTAATATAATGTCTTGCTCGCTTTCGGAAAAAGGAAACTGTTTGCTGACCTCTACATTCAATGTTTAAACAAGCTAAACCGTCGATGAAAACGATAAACTGAATTAGAAAGAAAGATGTTTGTTAACTAAGTGTTTTATGTATTCTTTTTTAAGGTAAAAAAAGAAGATTGTACTCAGATAATATGTTCTAATATACTTAATAAAAGAGTAAGAGAATATCATTAAAATGCCAATTGTGTTGATGTTTTCAAAAGGTATCAATACAACTAAATTTTACTGAAATAATAACTTTTTGTTTACCGCAAAAAGCAGTTTGACAATTTTTAAAATGTCCATCTTCGTTCTTTGTCACAGTAACTTCAAGGTTTTAATTATATCAAACTTTGACGATATTTTATATGATTTGTAGATCCGGTAAAATTTTCAATTTAATAAAATAAGACACAAAAATAATTACCAATTATCTTTAAAAAAGATTCAAATTAAAATCCCTTTAAGAAGATATAATACACAATTATGGGTTTAAAAGAGCATCGAGTTCCTTTGTTTCAATACAAACACTGCTGATTGAGTGACAGAGATGATACAGGAAATAATCGAACTTTTCATAAGGAAGAAAATATCATTGTATGCTTATGTTAATTTCAAACTACTTGGTGTCATTTATGGATTTCTTGAACTCTTTGATGAATACAATGCATCAATAATTTCTTTTTTATATTCAATTACTGAATGAACTTTATAAGGTTAATAAGTTAAATTTAATAAGTTAAATAACTTGTATTGGTCAATATTGGTACAATTAGGATATTCAAATTCACGAGCTTGCATATTTTGTCTATTTAAGCAATCAAACATTTTAAATCCGTTACGTATATTGTAATATTTACTAAAGAGTGGACATGTTAGAATTCAGTGATGATTCTTTTCTCTACATTCATTGTCTTACCCTATGGTATATATTTTTCTTGTCGTATTTTGTCCACGAATTAAAGCTTCAAATAAAATATAAATTGATCAGTGTTTCTCTTCATATATGATTATAATGATTACGTCAACATCTCAAAGAATACTGGTTATAGCTCATTTATGATTTTGTAATTAAAGGCACATCTTTCAGATTAGAAAGTCGAATGTTGATGCACAAATTGGAAATTATAAATGAAAACAAAATAGATAAATAACGGAGGTGATACAAATGTATTAGAGTTGTTATTTTTCAACTCTACAATAGTATACTTAGAATATTTCCTTCTTTTAGATATCGGTTCAATAAACGGAAAATTTTGCTTTTGGAAACATGATGTCTCTGCAATATGACTTTGCGTTTGGTTTGCCAGCTTTCAACATCCCTACTGTCCTGAATCATTCATCTATGCTCATATGTCTCATCATAGCGTTTTATCATCATTTCTGGCCAGAAATACTGAAACTTTATGTTCACAAAAACCCCCTTGCGCTGAATTTTATGAAGATAACGATCAATGTTCAACCTCAGAAGTCCATAAAACAATACAAACAAGACGCAGAATAAATACATTATTCATAGGTGGGACCAGGTGCTAATGAAATGTGAGCATCCCCTGCCAACCGGTATCGACCGCCGTGTGTTCCATGACATGATCATAACATAACGTTAAATCTGTCGATAATTCCGTGTGTATAAAATTGCCTAACATTAAGTATGAAAAACACCAGTCAGCATTTGATTAAATGATAAATATATTTTCTTACAAGGTCATTGTATCGACCATTGAACTTTGGAAATCCTGCCTTTAAACGAAACTGCTGATATTCTTGTTTCGTCAACTTGTTTGTTTGTCAACAATTTTCCTGTACCTAGTACCTGTACTGGAAATTGTACATATGTAAAGCATGCTTTTGTGAATGATATAAACTCCGTATGCAGATTATGAAGGAATATTGCAGCATAAGTAAGGGAAGTCGAAAAGTAAAATCATTACGTTTATTATTGAGCTTGGTTCTTATACATGTATAAATACCATTAACGTCTTTTCCAAGTAAAATATCCAAATCTGAAACAGATTTGTCAGATTCCGTGGTATTGTTTAGAATGGATGCTCACAGAGACATAAGAATGGAAATTACCATTTAAATTTAATTGACAATACGAGGGGTGATCAAAAAATTCGCAAACTAATTTAATAACTTCCCAAAAAGAAGTGATATAGGGTTTAAGTTTTGAAATTTTTTCGAAGTAGTCTTCTTCAAGTTTAATGCGTATCTGCAACCATTCTGCCCATGCACGGATCACGTGCTATAGGCGGTCACGTGACATGCTCCTTAGCGCTTTGTCACAGAAGCTTATTTTTTCCATCTCTATTTTCAATAACAAAAACAGTCCATTTGTCAGAAATGTCCTAATCTTGGCAATAATATGAGTGAATAATGATATCCATTTGCAGAATGGGCATGGTGACCATCAAAACCCAAAACCTTTGTCTTTTGAGCGTCTTTTAGTCCAGGTAGATACAGTATTCATGGGTGCCTTCACTTTTTCATATCTGATATGTTTAAAGTCTAAAGTAAAGGTTATTTTAGGAATTTGATAATTATATTATTGTAAAGATATTATTCTATTTTTCTAACTGTAAGCTGGCGACCTTTCATATCAAATTGCTTAATAAAGGACACGTCTCTTTCCCAATTTGCTTTCACTGGGCAACAGAACAAACATCATTTTTAAACATCTCCCTCCCTTCACTTAAACAATCAATCTAATTAATGACAAAACTTCTGGCAAGTATTTTGTCTTCTTAAACCATATACAAATTATTATAAATTTCTTCAAAGGAATTTCCAAGATATGCGTTTATCTTTACAGCCGTACGTTTCTCGAATACGGCTGTCAACCATTTTTTGTCACAAGTTATCTACCTTATGGCATCATTTTCACATTGTGACGTCACAAACACAGGGCAAGACGTTCCATTATATTTGCCATTTATAAAACATGAATATGACTATATGTGTGCCAAATTTCATTTTGATCTGAATTGCGGTTTTGTAAATATAAAAGATAGTTCGCGAACTTTTTGATCACACTTCGTACGTCGTCAGAACATGTAAATGTCGAATTGAAGGCCATAGCATGTGTTTTCTTCTTTTCACGTATAAGATTTTGGACAAAGTCTGGGCCGTTTTACAAAAGAACTTACAACTTAGACCAAAAACTTTAGATTATTGTAAAAATTTGCAAAATTAATAATTCTCTTTAAAATTGGTCGTGTAAAATATATTTTACCACATTCCTTTAAAAAAAGTTTAAATTAATTTTCGATATTTATGTTAATTAAAAAGTTATATAAAGAATTAAATTTGGTCTTTTGTCGTAAGTCTGTTGGTTAAACAGGCCCCTGCTTCATTTGGATACAAATATAGTGATCCTTATAACGGGGTTCAATAAATAATATCGCGAGTAAATTGCACTTATCTAACTTACTAACGCTCTTTTGCTTGAGAGTTGTGGAAGCTCAAATCTCGCAAGATTACTCGAGCACATGAAATTATTTACAGTTGCGACAATCGAATGATTTGTACAATTTTCTGCCGAAAGTACAATATATTGCCAAGAACTGAACCCCAAATAGTAGATTGTCGATAAAGAAAAGTTAAGATTATTTTATCAGCTTTTAAATGTGACGCTTTTAAATGATAATTTAATTAGAAGAGCCCGCTTAGTTAGAAATATCGTTAAAATTAAAACATTTTAGCATTAACCCTCATTTTTTGAAATGATTTTTAATTAAGCTGAGTCTGTAGAAACTAAAAATATACTTGACAAAAAAAGTTTAAGACTTTAAACATCATGAGCCAACGTCGTTAAATCTTCAGGGATTATAGACATTTTTGTGTTTGAAAAATCTTTCTTTAACTTCACAGAATAATCATCTTCCCTAGAGTGAAGTGGTGCAGACAATTTTTAATGACCTTAAAACCCATGCTCCGTGTCCCGCTAAGCGTTGGTATGAAAAATTTCCCTCACTGCTCAATGGCATTGGGTGCTTAGTGAAGCTCTGATTTGGAAGCTCGTCAACAGTTTATACTGATATCTCTACATGAGTGAAATTTTCTCGAAGGGAACGTAAAACAATGCACGATCAATAAATCACTCTAATATTCAATCGTGATGTAATGACTTATGGAAACCTTTTAACAGAATTTCACTTTCATCTTCAATTGCACATTATGCACATCTCTTACTAAGCACTCCATTCAAGGGAAAAATAATTTTTATATTCGAGTCCAAAGAGACTTTTAATTAACTTTGTGCACCCTGTAACAATATTTATTTTAGACTTTAATCATTTTGCAAAATTCTTTCAAACATCAAATTAGAACACTTTTCCGTAGTTACAACTTTGACCTTATAGCGTAAAATACAATTTATACATGTATATGTATGATGTCACGATGCTTTTATTTAAAGAGTTTATATTTACATAAGCATATTAGCTTAGATGAACCTACTGAGGAAACATTATTCGTCTCAAATGTAAATATAAGAAATAAACAACAATGTTAAAAAGTTAACTGGGAAATGAACTTTTAGTTGGTACGTGATCAAATCTACTAAGAAGCCCTTCAGGCTTCAAAGGATTTGATTACGTGACAAACTAAAAGTTTATCTCCCAGAGAACTTTTTAACATTGTTTTATATTTCTTAAATAAAGTCTATAGTGTATTTATGGCAAATAAAGCATTGCTTCTTAGCTTACCTTTTGTGGTCAAAGCAAGAGGGTATTGCAGGATAAAACTGTTCGTATCGTTCATGCTATATATGTAAGTAATTCGATATTTCGAAATATATCCCAATTAACTAAAACAACGACATCAGTAAAAATACTGGTGTATTACAGTTCTGTTTAAATTTTGTTATAATAATTATACACAAATATATGACTTGAATAAACTCAATTGTGTGATCTTTTCCAGTAGTACACATGTATTAGACGCCTTAAATTTCTTCTTCATTATGAAAAAAAAACAGTATGCACTAATCAATATATCATTCATGTTTTATTACGTAATATCGTTCCAACTTTTTTTTAAAAACACAATTCACAAAAAATTCGGAATTGAAGAAACTGTTTTCAAAAACATATTACAAAGGAAACACTGCAACAGGATAGACACTACCCAAAGAAAAAAACTTCTCCGCAGTTTAAGTGTGATATGTATAGTCTCTTAGGCAAGGCGGTGTATCTTCGGTTCGTACTAGATTGAAATCTTTTGCTTTCATCATTCTCGAGATACAAACGTTTTCCACAAGCCCCTATTATTCGCTTGCTTAGATTAATGAATAGTTGCCTACCTGATGTCCCAACAGCAGCGTATACTGATAAGCAATTTGTTCGTATTCTCGGAGTAATCCAGCTATACATTTCATCTGCTTTGGGGTATGTCGTGAAACTTAATCCACACCCACCACTCGTCTTTGTCTTGCTGGCACATGTTTGTCTCAACGAACTTACCAAAGTATCAACTTCGGTCTTGTTTATGGGTGTTTTTTGACGATCAACACTAGCAACGGCTATGTCTCTGTTATGTAGTTGTTTGGCAAACCCATTGCACATGTGATAACATGCTCTGTTACGGCTGGATGGAGTCGAAATTATTACCAACCAGTCTCGCCAGAAGTACTTGTCAGAGAGTTTTTTGTATAGGCCTCGACTGAAATCTTCATTTCCTAACGAAGAGTTCAAAGTTGCAAATGATTCAATATCTAACAAAAACTGTGAATTGTACTTTGATGCTACATCTTGGTCAGTTACTAACATCTTAGCTTGAACTCTCTCTAAACGAGTTTGCCATTGTTGGACATAGAATGGAACAATGCCTCCACTGAATCCTTTAATTGCGAAATATTCAAACTCTAGCTTGGCTGCCATGAAAAGTAATCTAAGTATGCCAAGCATAAAAATCCTCATTTTACCTCGATCAGGCTCTGTATATTGCATAGCTGGTCCAAGAAGTCCTGTACCAAATACATTACCTTCATTCATAAAGCCTTTATATAGTTTTATTCCACTATCTTGATAGCCACTTTCGTAACTAGTGATAAAGATTTGCTTCTGTGCATCTATTGCAAGTTTTGGAACTTTGTACATATTATTAAGTGCATCAGAGACTGCTATTATTCTGCTTTCAATATCAGTGTAAGTAACTTGAACTGTTGACCAGTTAATAAGTCTTTTAATATCTGAAAACTGGGCATCCACTCGATCAAACCTAAGATTAACTGTTTCCGAAAACTGTCGAAGATATTGTAGCTCTGGTGACTCTGTTTGTCCTATTCCGAAAATCAGCTTTGTAACATCAAAAATTGTGCTAAAAAATGGAACAGCGATTTTGGCTGCTTTACCAACTATGCTTAGAAATTCTCCTGCATTTATTTCGTCCGCAATTATATTGCCAGCTTGAAGACCATTGTCAAGGTTATTATCAACCGCTCGAATGTCATGAGAGTATATGCAAATCACAGAAATGAGAAGAATAGAGGGGATACGCATAGTCGCTATTTTTTATTCTGCAATTGACCAAAAAAATATGGATTATTTTATTTACCTTTGATATGAAGAGAATATCTAACAAAGGAATGACTTGATTGGGTATATAAATTTGATTTAAGGGTGCAATTCGGGATTTCATCCCAAAAACATAAGGACAGCATATGTAAAAGTCAATGAAACAATTTTTTTTAAATGCTATAGATTTCATATCTTTTTAGAAAAAAATATTTTGATTTAAAGAATATCATGATAATGATGTACCTACCTAATCTTCCTCCAAATGAAGTAAAGAGTGTGACTTCACATGTATAAATGCGTTCATTTTAAAGCCAGATAAGTACGGAAGCCCATTAGTGCCAACCTCTATATATAAAGGAAAAGCGATATATAAAAGCAAACCTCGATATATAAAGGAAATGCAATATATGTAAACAAAACCTGGATATATATAAACGAAACCCGGATATATATAAAGGAGATGCGATATATATAAACAAAACCTCGATATATATGAAGAGAAATGCGATATATATAAAGAGAAAATTTTCCACTGCGTGAACTGCAGCGCTCGGCTGTCCATCAAGATTATATACAGATTAACCCCTGGCAGGAGGAAATCAGTTATACAGTACTCATTCATAACTTTCCAAGAATCGGCAAATTGTTTCTATTTAATAGTGTTTATTTGTTTATAATGCTATATCAATGAACTGTAATTGTAACATTACTTAAAATAATGCACTTAAATTAATAAGAAGAGCAATTGAATTGATTTCTAAATACATTCATGAAATAAGTATATGTTTTACATTAGAAAATTAAATCTAAAGTTTAAACTTATCTTGATAATTTTTATAAATAAGTTTAAACTTTAGATTTAAACTTTTAATGTAACAAATGCATCGTACTTTCTGTGTTTTTATTATTTTTTTTTGATTTACATATATTTTGATCCACTCCGTTAATTTTGACAACCCAACCTTGTTTATTTATTTATTTATTTATTTATTTATTTATTTATTTATTTATTTATTTATTTATTTATTTATTTATTTATTTATTTATTTATTTATCTATTTCGTTTTTTCCAAGCTTACTACCTTTGGTTTCACAACCGAGAATAAATGAAAATATTGTTAAACGTGGAGTCTTAACAATTCTTTTATTGCCCCAATTCAAATTTATTTAAACTCGTTATAAAAATAATTTACTAGTATGCCAATATAAAAAAGAATCGGAATGAGAGAGATGGAGGTATGCACTACATTTTAATATGAGGGAAGAAAGCGACATATATATGTGACTATTACCGTGATAATTTTAGGGCTGTGAAAAAAATCAAAGTATTTGTGAATAAATGAAAAAAAAAAAAACGAGTTAGTGCAACCACACTTACATAATTAAACTGTGGAGTTTTGTCACACGTCGTAAATTAATTCGATTTGAAATTCTCCATAATTTAATATGTAAAAAAAAAACATAGTAAAACGTTAAAGAACTTATAAAACATAATAAAACACTTGCATTGTGCACTGAATTATATTTCGATTGAAAAATATCCACTACCTTAAGTGCTAAGTAATATACATTATAAGCAGAAAAGTCTCGTATTGGTGTCATTCTGCCCAACAGGTCTGAAATGTAAAAAGAGCAGCAGGGTTTTTTTAGCTTTAGTTTTATTCGTCATAATTATCAAGATACACAAATGAAGGAAACACGCTGAGGAATACCATCCTGAAACAGCCACATTAACTGATTGCAATCAAAACATTGGACCGGGAGCTGCTTATCATATGTTAGCGAAGTCTGTTGTAATGAAGGTCATTAAACATGTTAAAGGTTAGGCTATGGAAATTTTTCTCTTTATACATATCGAAGTTTTGTTTTTATATATCGCATTTCCTTTATATATATCGAAGTTTCCTTTATATATATCGAAATTTTGTTTATATATATCGAAATTTTGTTTATATATATCGCATTTCTCTTTATATATATCGAAGTTTTGTTATATATATCGCATTTCCTTTATATATATCCAGGTTTTGTTTATATATATTGCATTTCCTTTATATATAGAGGTTTGCTTTCATATATCGCTTTTCCTTTATATATACAGGTTGGCACTAATGGGCTTCCGTAGATAAGAGATAAGAAACAAGGAAAAGAGAGAACGACATATAACATTCTGTCTGATCATTGGTTATTGCACCGAATCTTATCTTGCACTCGTCTTTCCCTCTTTAGTTCAGTATTAGTTCCAGTGATCAATGTAATACAAGATTTGGTTTGCATGTTATTTGTTATTTTCTTACTAAGAAACCTACATGAAGTTGAACTTTTTATTTTATTTTTACAGAACCAAAGCTCAAAGCAAATAGTCATAATTCATTGCAAATTCTTGTAGAGCTACGTTTGTATAGATAGGCCTTGATATCATACAGAGGCATAAATGAAGATATTTTTAAGTATATAGAAAGAAATATTTTCTTGAATTTCTTGTAAGATGTTACGCAAAACAATGCTGAATATGTCTAACAGTTTCTATAATTATTCATTTAGCAGCATACGTCTTATCATCGTTTCATACATGTAAAGTTGGAACTTACATGTATTGAACGTATCAGTTTTATTATGAATAAAAGTGTTCTCTTTGGAGGGAAGGAGGCTTTTCAAAGATTTAATTGAAATTCAAGTACACATAGATAAATCGTGCATTAAAATTATTTAAACTCTGCCATTTTCATTAAATGAGTGGACTGATATGCAGTCCATGTTCATAACATTAATAAGGTTCTTTTTAAATTCCTGAAATTATGAGGCGCTTGTTTGAGCTACGTTCTCGCCAGAATAACAAAAAAAAACTTTATTGATTTAATGGATTTATTGCAGATAAAAAGATAATCAAACCCTTTTCAATTCAGTCATTAATTTCCAGGCTTCAATTTGGTAATGCAGCTAAAACACAGCCTCATGTGACGTCAAAGTCTATCCGCAAAATTTGTGACGTGCAGATGAACAAGCACGTTAGTAATGTGTCCGGCATCCGTGTGTTTTTTCTGTCCATCTATCTGTCTGTAAACAATTTTTCAAAATACTACCCCTTCTTCAGTTTTAATCTGCTTTCAATATAACTTGGCTCAGAAATAGACTACACTCAGATAAATATATCTGTGTATTGATTACTATGAACGGTGTGGATACTGAAAATAGAAATTTCTGTGAAATACTTTTAAAATGTTTCTCTTGCTCCTTAACTTTTAGTTTTGTTTCAATATAAATCTACACACATGTAACTACACTAAAATACACAATTCTGTATATCAGCGTTTGATTTCGATGAAGGGCGTTGCTGTCGTTGTTATTTTTATCAGTAATTTTTGTGAAATAGGTGTAAAACTATACTCCTCTTTCAGTTTTGGTCTGATTTCAATATAATTCGGCACACATCAGAAATTAAAAATACATGTATCATCAATACATATCCTTTATATTAGAAACTTGCTAGTGGAGTACAGATCAATGAAATCATTTATGTAATTTTCAGAACTTGAGGTAAAAATCTCAAATGATATAATTATATACAAATCTAAAAATCGATTTTTCATGCATGTTTTATTGTGCTACACATTTAATAAATGCTTTATTTCATTATTCATCAAGATACTTTTAGTCTAAATTCTTTATTAAATATTACTTAAGCTTTTCTTTTTTTTAAAAAAAAAAAGTGTGTAGCCTTGAGGTCTGCATCTAAAGATAAAAAATCTCTTACATGCATAAAAAAAACAAGCAAAGATATATAATCCTTCGTTTACAAAAGACAAAAATGTATACACATTTCCACATCACGTGAAAGTATTTCCAGTCCAAAAGCATGTATTTGTTTTTTTGGTGTACAAATATGCTCTTAGTGAAAAATAAGGAAATTAAAGTTCAGAACAGAAGAGTGCATATTTAATTTTTGAAACATAACTATTTCCCAGAAATGCACGGGCATATGGTTTCTTCCTTGTGTTTTTTTTTATATTTTCATTTATGAAATCCTCAAAATTACACCCTTTTTCTACCAGAGCATGTTATGCCAACAGGTATACGTATATATGTGTTTTTTTTTTGTTATAGCTATTGAATTTAAGATATTAATTAAATATAATAATATTTTTAATTAATGGGCATGCCCTAACAAAAAAATACTATAGTTAACTATAGTTAACTATAGTTAACTATAGTTTACTATAGTTTACTATAGTTTACTATAGTTTACCATAGTTTACTATAGTTAACTATAGTAAATCAAAGTGTCAAAGTTTTCGTCAAAATTTTTCAAAGTGTCAAAGTTTTCGCCAAAGTTTTTCAAAGTGTCAAAGTTTTCGCCAAAGTTTTTCAAAGTGTCAAAGTTTTCGCCAAAGTTTTTCAAAGTGTCAAAGTTTTCTCCAAAGTTTTTCAAAGTGTCAAAGTTTTCACCAAAGTTTTTCAAAGTGTCAAAGTTTTCGTCAAAGTTTTTCAATGTGTCAAAGTTTTTGCCAAAGTTTTTCAAAGTGTCAAATTTTTCGCCAAAGTTTTTCAAAGTTTCAAACTTTTCAACAAAGATTTTCAAACTGTCAAAGTTTTCGCCAAAGTTTTTCAAAGTGTCAAAGTTTTCGCCAAAGTTTTTCAAAGTGTCAAAGTTTTCACCAAAGTTTTTCAAAGTGTCAAAGTTTTCGTCAAAGTTTTTCAAAGTGTCAAAGTTTTCGCCAAAGTTTTTCAATGTGTCAAAGTTTTCGTTAAAGTTTTTCAAAGTATCAAAGTTTTCGCCAAAGTTTTTCAAAGTGTCAAAGTTTTCGTCAAAGTTTTCGTCAAAGTTTTTCAAAGTATCAAAGTTTTCGTCAAAGTTTTTCAAAGTGTCAAAGTTTTTGCCAAAGTTTTTCAAAGTGTTAAAGTTTTCGCCAAAGTTTTTCAAAGTTTCAAACTTTCAACAAAGATTTTCAAAGTGTCAAAGTTTTTGACAAAGTTCTTAAAAATATCAGAATTTTCG